GCTCTCAACTCCCCACCCACCACCCACGCGGCGACATCCACGGTCGAGACCGCCCACACCCCGACGCCCAACACGCACATCCACACGGCCCAGTGTGCGATCTGAGCAAGGAAGTCGTGCGGGGCGAGCAGGCCGGCGCCGAAGCGGGCGACTATGGCAAAGATGCGGCCGAGCAGGATGGCATAGACGGTGCGGCCGGCGGCGACGAGGGCAGCGGTGGTGAGGGAGAGGAGGAGGAGGGGCCGTGTGGTCCGGTGATGTGAAGGTGAAGAGGTGTGCGATGGTGGAGGGGGGGGTTGGTGGTGTTGTGGGCATGGTTGGGGTGGAGCGGTGGTCGAGATGGGTGGTGGTGTTGTTGTGGTGGGTTTTGTCGGATGGGGTCGAGGAGATTGTTGATTTGGTGAATCGAGGTTGGTGGTCTTGGTTGAAGGCCGAAGATGCCATGGTCGTTGTGGTGGTTTTAGTTAGTCAGGTGATGGTCTTGTTTGTTGATAGCTTGTTCGCAAACTGATAGAATGGCTGAGTTCGGAAAAGGAAGACCAGTGATGGTTGGAAGATTGAGTGATGGCGGTCAAGCCATTGGTAGTAGATATTTGAGTTGTTGACAACTCAATTCGAACTCAAGCTTGGGCGATATCCGATCAGCTCAAGTTTCCAGATCAGTATAATACGAACAGTTCGATCCCAGGGACAGTCCCATAATTCGGGCGCGCCTCGTGGTAACTATTCTTGTGGGAGGGGCGCGGCTTTGTTTGCTCTTAGTATTGTGCTCAACATGCAAGTGGGCCAAACAGGACAACAATACTAAGGGGCTGAAAGAAACATTCCAGGAGGCGGCTCGAGGGCGCACTGGCCACATTTCACGCGATGAGAATGGTAATTTTCTTAATATGTAATGGTATTCTCACGAGGACGAGGCCTTCTCTTTTTGAGCCTGCTCATAAACCCAGTCGTTCAAGCCCGCCCGGTTTCTGCGGAGAGTCAGCATCAGCACCTCGTATGGTGTACAGCCCAAGGTAGAACCTACCGCGCAATCTCGACAGCGTAGAACTGCATCCTCGGCACTGCGCATCGTTAGCCCCGTCCGTGTTCTGGTCTGAGAACCGGCATCAGGCACTCACCGAAGATGGTCTCCTCCCGGCCGTATTCCCACTTGGGGTTCGACCGCATCATGGTGCCAAAGTTGTAGTCGTCGACCTTCTTCTCATACACCATCATGAAGTTGCGCCACCGTTCCTTGCCCTCCTTGCTCTTCATCTGGTCCTCGTCGATGGTCTCGGCCGGGTCGAACTCGGGGAAGTCCCTCTTAAGGTGCTCGTAGATGTCATCGTCCATACGAGTCAGGCGCAGCGACGATCCCTTGACGCGCTCAAGGATGGACCAGTAGGTCTGCATGTGCTGCACCACCTTGACAGCAAACTGCTTCTCGATCTGCGGAGGTCGTCTTGGTCAGCGGGTGGCTGGTGGTGTCGCGGGTGGTTTAGGAGAGGGGCCGTACATCCTCGAGGTTGTCAGCCTCTTCGGCATTGAAGGTTTTGGGGGCTGATGGCTGAGACATGGCGATAGATGGTGGGTTGGCCGGGAAGCTGTTGCTGGGAGCAAAGTCGCAAACGGGCTGCGTCAAGATGCGCCAGAAGCTCTGCCCTGAAGGCGAGCGCAGCAAATGGTGGGGTTGGTTATTCGCGGGGGCTATTTTGTTTATCGATAAGGGGCCGCTTTTTCTTTCCCAGGCTTGCAAGAGCAAAAAGCACAGATGGTGGGGCTCAGTGGAGCCTGGGCTGTCTCCGACCCTAACCCTGTCGATCCCCTTTTGCAATTGTGTTTACTTGCCCGATTAAGGGGCGAGTTACTGCATAAAATCAAAGTCGGTTTCACTATTTTCAGTTAGGGGGCTGGCTTTCTGATCTGCAAGATTACACGAAATGGTGATTGGCCAATATCACTATAAACTTCAGTCCGTTACACTTGATCAACAGCTTGGCCACTTGTATGTGTATAATGTGCTTCGTATGCAGTATGGTTTTATCCAAAGTCAACATCTTGTCGTCCCATACTCACTTGCCTGCCACAAATGTGACCATTGTGTTATTCGAAAAGACCGTAACAATAGGCCAGCACTGCCTAAGGAAACCTTCAGTGCCTCCTTCCCAGCCAGACGTGGCCTTTGTGCGACAACTGACAAGGTTGGCAACTGCGAACAACACACCTCGAAACAATGAGAAAAACATAGCATGAATCAACTTCACAATGTTCGGCATCATGTATAAAGCTTAGTGCGACAACCACTTTGACAGGCATTTTAGTATTTTGCAATCGCCATTTTGGGGGCTTACCTTACCAACATCCACGAAACACGACTTACTCCGTCACACCTGGATCTGGATACCTTACCTTATGCAACACCATTAACTGAGCTGGACAATTCATGTATTCTTATCTTTCTTTTTGTTTTTGAGACTCACACTAATCCAGTCGCATAGTAAGCAGGATGAACCGTCTTACCAGAAAATTGTCGCGACTTGGGCGTTCTTCCCTTCGAGAAGTGCTCAAGGAGCCTGTTCGGGAAAATGAACTCCCCAAGGAAGAATCACAGCATCTAGAATTTCCAGAAATACCAGACACCCACGAATTTCCTGAGTCACTGCCGTTATCGACCCCAACCACTCTCAAGTCGACATTTTCCACTGCAACATTCGAAAGCACCGCCAACACTTCCAACCTCGACGTGCCGCCAAGCCCTGAGCTAGAGCATGTAGGACGCACCACCAGCGTTCCCGATATCCCCAAAGTCGGAGCAACATCGTTTGTATTGCCAAGGGTTTCATCAGCTCCGGCTCCCGAAACTTCGTCGTCTACATCCTCCCGGAGCAATAATTCTCTTATGCAGCAAATCTCCGATGAACGGCCCCCCTGGGATCGCAGCATTGAACTCGTCTGGACTAAGTATATTTCCTGTCATGAAAGGGAAAGCCGGGCGACTGATGGAGGCCTTTGTGGAGAACCTGGCGCGCTTGAGGCAGAGTTCGGTCACAGTCGGCCCCGGCTCACCTTCATTCGACGTGCGGAATGATAAGCGACCAGGAGATGGACCTCTGTCCCCAAATCGCAACAGCCAGTTTGGGCCTCATTCACGTAAAGCCGCTTCGACAAATGGCCCCTATTTCCGGCTCCCAGACACCGCCCGGTTCAAAGTAATGAAGTACCTTCTGGCTGGCAATGAGCCCCACGACAAACCCATCCGCATGAACCATCCAGTGTTCTTGTGGGAGGTGTGGCCGGTTAGCAGACCCCATCAACCGGGTGTGGGATCGACGGGCTACTTCGACAGCCTTCAAAGCGTCCTATCTTCCGTCGACAACTACACCTCGGTGTGTTCCGCCATGAGAGCTGATGTCTTGGCTACCCTCTTCCTCACCCGCCGCTTCCACGTTGTTTACTCGCCCCACGTGCGCAAGGAGACGCAACTAGCGGCGACGCACTACATGGACCGGTACGGACCGCTCATGGCTTCCATCACGCTCGAGGTGGACTTTACGAAGCTAGCAGGTGGCTGGCGACCGGAGGCAGTGTACTTCGATGCTCTTCGGGGGCTGAAAGGCGTCAAAACGTTGATTGAGGATTTCGTACAACGCCAACTCACCCGACGCAACACCAGCATCCAGGACCTGCGCGTGCTAGTCCGGCGATACCACGGCTTTCGGCCAACCGCCTCCGCCCCGTCTCCGGATCCGCCGAAACCCGACCAAAACGATAGCCAGCACCATCACCCAACGGGCACACCCTCACCTCCCCCTACTCTATCCCCCATCTCCACCAACCAATCCCCACCACAACCACGCCCCTCACCACCACCATCAACGCCACCAACACCACCAACCCCAACTCCCAAACCCACCCCCTACACCGACCCCGCCCACATCGCCCACACCCTCTCCCCGCTCAAATCCCTCGGCCCCCTCGTGTCAACCCTTCACCCTGACCGGCGTCCCCCACGCCTTTGCCACCGAGCTCCTTTCCGCCTTGTCAGGCCGGCCGGCGCCTGTATCGGCGACAACCGGCGTCAGCTCAACTAGTACCAATGGCTCGACTGGTGCGGTTGGTTTGAAGTGGATAGACCGGCCCACACGTCACGTATGCTATCGCGTGGCGGCGGTGGAGTATCCCTTGCTGGAGGGGGCAGAGGGCAGTGGTGGGGTTGAGGGCGGGGGGGCGTGGGTGTTGTTGTGGTGGGGGGGGGATGGGGGTGGGATTGAGGGGGGAGGATGGAGGAGGGGATGGTGCCCAGGGTAGAAAGATTGTTTTGGGGAAAAGTAAGGGTGTGGGGGTTGGGGAGAGTACATGTAAGGACGTGGGGCTGGGGGAGGGTGAGAAGGCGATAGAGGCCTTGGATCAGGGGCCCGGTGGGAAGGGGGGGGAGGTGAGGTTCTTGGAGGGGGAGGCGGAAAAGGAACAGTTGGAGGTGGATGGGAGGTCGAAGGCTGTACGCAGGGTCGCAAAGGGAAGCAGGGTACGGAGGTTGGGGCGGAGGTTGGAAGGCGGGTTGTCACTGAGAGTGAAGGCTGGTAGGGGGGGTACGGAGGTTGTGAGGGTCTTGGAGCGATCGTTAGATGAGGAAGCCACAAGGAGGAAGGCTGTGCAGCAGGGAGAGGGAAAAGGGCCGGAGAATGGGAAGACGAGATCCCGTGTCGGTATCGTGGCGCGCAGCGTGGCGCGAAGGATTGCCATTGGAGGAAGGAAGGGGCTCTTCGGGCAGTACTAGTACTAATTGCATTTGAATGAGGTGCCTCAAGGGCGTGTGGGTTTGGGCCCCAAATAAGGGAGGGTTGTGTAGGGATATTTGAGCGCTGTTGTTAGCGCAAACCTGAGTTATTACTGCAGGGTTTATGGGTATTTAGCGTAGAGGTTTTGCTGGAATAAACGAGCGATTACAAGAGATCTAGTAGCATCGGCGCGATAACGACAGCCACCCAAGTAAGCAGGGCCAACTTGGATGTTCTTGGATCAAGCAAAGCCCCTGCCTGGCTTCAACTGGTAGAGTTCGATGGGCACCTGTTGCCGTCAGACTCGGGGTCCGTTGGCGTGACCACCACGCCCGTCCCGGGCTCGCCGCCGCTGCAGTACTGGGTACAGCCGTTCAGCTCGCCCTCGCCGCCTTGGATCTTCAGCACCGTGCTAAAGCCCGAGTTCCCCTGGCCAGTCGCGCACGAGGCGGCGTACTGCTCGTCACTGGCGCCGTCGGCATTGCAGGCGCCCGTTTCTGTGTTGCCGAGGGTGGACGGGTACTCGATGCTGAAGACCGGCTTGCCCTCGGCGATGTAGGTCTGGAAGTCCCCGCAGAACACATAGTCCTCGTCGTCGTTGAGCGTCTTGCAGTCCTCGAGCACGGCAAAGTCGAGATCGCCGCTGATTTGTTCGACAAGCTCGGGCGCGTTCTTCTGCCCGATTAGTAGCGTGTGACCTCGATCGGTCGTCAGACTGTGGGCATGCGTGGCAAGCTCGGTGACGAAAGAGACGTAGTCGCCCTCCGACAGGTCCCAGCCGGTGCCGTTGTTGTTGTCTAGATCGTTCAGGTAGCCGTCGATGTTGTCCGGATCCACGCCGTCGCAGCCATAGTCGCGGGCCAGCGTAATACGGTCCTTCATCCAATCCCGTGCGGTCTGGCTCTTGATGTTGACCCAGCGTTCGTCGCTGAACTCAGGCTCATCTGGGGAGTAGATGTTGCCCAGGAGCCCGCTGTTCTTCCACTTGGTGTCATAGTCGCAATCACTCTCCTGGGCAAGGCCGGCGTTGAAGTAGCAGATCAGGATGGCATCGGGGTCGTTGTTCTGCATCAGTCAGCATCGTTACCCAGAGGATACGTATAAAACAAGCCTTACCCGAAGGTGGGTCACAATTTCCGGGGTGCGGGCGACATGGTAGAGGTCAAGATCCCATACGACCGCATCGGTGGGTTGGAGAGTGGCGTTGACGTCGAGGGTGTTTTGAATGATGATTTGCCATTTCACCCCTGGCAAAAAGTTTGATGGAACGTCGACTTGAGCTAAGCCGCCTGAAATGGACAAGCCAACAGCGAGGAGGGATGTAGCACGCTTCATGATGGAGGAGTCAACGTGTAAGTGAAATGCGCTCAGAGAGGCCTTGCGGTTGGGGACGGTTCGGATGGGCAATCCTGGAAGTGAGAAAACTGTTGGATGATTCGAATACTTATGCTTTCGAGATCAAACGACAAAGCCCTTGTCCTAACGTTCCGCTGCGCCCCGAACTTCATCTGTGGGATCTCGTGGCTTGTTTCGGAATCCTTCAACCAAACTCGAACTAGACGCGTGCCAAAAACGCTTGGCAGGTGGACACATTCTGGACTGGCTCCTTGCATTGTTCTTCGCCCTAATTTTGCGTTTTGGGGTAGCCTACGGCGCCCGGCGGTACCCCGGCGTTGGGCAAATGGACAGGGGTTCAGGGGCATCGGGCTTACCGGGTCTCACCGGGGAGGTTTTGTTTCTGGTGGAGTAGCGCGCCACTGTCCAGTCTCTATTCGGTGCCGAATGCCGCTGTGGTGGATCCCCTGTTATAAATCATCAGATGACATGAATCCCAATTCTCAAAGTCTGGGACCTCTGTGTCTGCTCCGACTCGATCGTTCATGGTGTTGCATGCATGAACCTGACTCCAACTGTGCCGCACCCGGGTGATTAGCTACCCCCCTGAGCTGTTGTTTTGGGTCGAGATAATTACAAACGAACAAATGAAGCCTCGGGCAAAGCAGGTTTATAATCGTAATTTATCCCCTGAATTATTAGCCTGTAAAACAGGCCGTGAGCAGATGGCGGGATTCCTGGGAGAGTACCTATCTTTCAAGTTGTCCTTGTTAATGGCTCAGACAATACCGCACGAGCGGAAGGGGTTCAAGGCAAGGAAACATAAATTTAGCATGGCAGCTTATCATCCATGGTTAACGTTCCCATGGAACATGAAATCTGGAAAGTAAATCCGGTTTCTTGACCGCGACTACTGTGTGGTATACCCCCCCTTTCCCAACGTAGCGATTTCTGCTGTCTATCACTGCCAAATTATAGACTACGTGCATTATTTTACAACTACCGCCCCCTCAGCGTTACACAACAAGCCCGCCTTTCAGGGCCGGAACATGTTATAATTATATCAATGCGTACTCTCAGACCTCTACCGCTCGCCTTCTGACTGGCATGCGTTTGGGATCGAACCCTTGCTCATATGATTGCCGAAAGCCGTTGAGATCAAGTCCGAGCCCTCGGTTTCTCCGTCTTACCCACGGAGATGGAGGACGTCGATACATCACAACCGGGGTGCTCTTCACATGCCTGGGAATTCCCATTGTTACTAAGAACAGGTCTACCAGATGCGCGAAGAAAACACCGTGATACGTAACAGACTTGCATTGGCAATGGGAGTTTAGTGTTGAATTATGTTATTGCTCAGCCTATATGCCGCCAGCTGGCGGATGGTCACGTCTTGTAACCACGGTTGTGCATGTAATTTGCGTGTGAACACCAAACCTTAATCCGTTAAGCTGGAGGTATGATAGTAAATAGGTACATGGTCATGTTTTCAACCCGTCGCTTAAAGTCACCGTATGTTAAAAGCGGCCGCTACGCTGGGCATACCATAATAGTGCCGAATCCAACCTCGCATCACGATGGCATCACGTCTACCTTGTTACCGCATTTAACCGTTCACTGGAGGGGTACCGACCACACATTTTAAGAGCATACAATGTACAGTCAGCTTACCCGGATCGGTATCCTTGGCCATATCCGAGCGAACCAGTTGTCACCATCCAAGCCGGCGTCACGAGAACCACCAAGTTTGCCCTTTTTAACTTGCTCAAGTTGTTGCTTGTCTCGTAGGCTATGCTCGGCTTTTCGGAGACATGTTCAACCTACGTGACAACCGAATCTGGAGACATGTTCCTATAGCTGCCTTGGTAAGCAATGGTGTAGCCCAGTTCATGGTGTTTTCCCTGACCCTCACACGAGTTCTTTACCAGCCCTTGCCATATTTCCCAGCACTGAGATTATATGCTCAACAATACTCGTGACAGAGACAACCCGGATGATTAGAAGCACCGTTCTCTCAACTTCAGTAACTACCTCGACCTTAGTATTGACCTGAACCACAAACACTCACAAAAATAGTGAGGTTTCTGCCTCATACAACAACTAACCTCCTCGGGGCGGGCGCCATCACTGGCTTGGGAGCCAATACCACTTCTCCGTCAGTCCGGACAGTCACACTCGATTACAATCATTATTCGCCATGCCGCATCCGGCCACCATTGCCACAACGTTACCCCTGTGTTGTAAACACACACCAAGAGTGAGCGGCGACTAGGCCTAGTTATTTCGGAGATGGGGGATAAACTGGGGATACTTGCGAGGGCGGGCTGGAGGGGGGCGGTTAAAGCCCATGATTATCAGTGACAAAGAGGAGATGGTATAAAACGCCCAAGTACCCAGTACACACAGCTATTATACACAGCCCGCAACCCCCCAACCCCAAACAAAACCTCCCGTCACCCGCCCCTCACCCTCCTAATCCCCTCCTCCACCGCATCCATCCCCGTCATCTTCTTAACCACCCCCTCCGCCAACCCGCACGGAATCGCCGTCGCCATCCTCGCCACCAGCGCACTCTCGCCCTTCCACACCTCCGCCGGCACGCTCCTCCCCAACAACACCGCCAGCACCTCCCCCGCCCACTCCTCCGCGCTGATCCCCCTCTCCCTCAACCCCTCCTGGCTCATAATCCGCTCCACCTGCTCCCGCACCGGCGCAAACACCGACCCCGCCGGCAACCGGCCCCCACCCCCACCCCCACTGTTGTTACCATAATCAGCAGAACCGTGCCGATGGAAATTGCTATTTGCAATGATGTTGGTGCGCACCCCGGCCGTCTTGAGGTCCACGACGCGCACGCCAAACGGCGCCAGCTCCATGCGCATGGTGGCCGTCAGCATGGCCAGCGCGGCCTTGGAGGCGTTGTAGATGCCCTGGAAGGGGAGGGCGGCGACGGAGCCGACCGAGGTGTGGTTGACGATGAGGGGGGCGAAGGTGGTGGTGGTGGTGGTGGGGGTGTTTGGGGGGTTGGGGTTGGGGCTGGGGTTGGTGGAGCGGAGGATGAGTGGGAGGAAGGCTTGGGTGACGGCCAGGTGGGCCCAGACGTTGAGGTCGAAGAGCTCGCGCGCGGCGGGGAGGGTGGCGTCGATTACGGGCATGGTGTAGTTGCCTGCGGCGTTGTTGATGAGGATGTCGAGGCCACGGGTGGGCGGGAGCGCGGTGGTGACGGCCGAGACGGCTGATTCGATGGAGGAGGGTGAGGTGATGTCGAGGGTTAGTGTTTGGATGCCTTGCTCAGCAAGGGGCGACAGCTTGGATGGGTTCCGCGCCGTTGCGTAGACGTGGTGGCCTGCGTTGTGGAATGCTACAGCTAGGGCCGCGCCCATCCCCCCTGGGGAGCAACCCGTGATGAGGATGTTGAGATTTTGAGGCGGCGGCATGATGAAGAACGATATTACGCGATTGAGGATAGATTCAGGTCATGAGGCGTCTAAAAGGACACGGGTTGGGTGCGTTGGATGACAAAAGACTGAAAGTTGCTCCTTAACTTGTTGATGGCATTCCTTGAACTTTTTTCACCGTTCATCTCCTACTTATATCAACCGCCATGGCCAAAGTGACGGGTTGTCGGCGATTTGTGGTTGCCGTCCAGGGGTAAAAGTCTCCGTGAGGGTCTTGGAAGTTGCGTGGGGATTTGGCAGCCTGAGCTACCTACCTAGCGAGGCCACGCAGTCGCTGGTTGCCTTTTTGGGTCGGCACCAGCATGCCCTGGCGGCTGAGTGTCACCTTGCAAAACGACGAGTCCGAGGATGCAGTGGGGACCGCGCGAAGCTGAGCACGGATGTATCTACACCCCTGCCAGCTTGACAAGTCAAAGAAGCTCCCTTCGTGGGTATCGGAGGGTAGCTTGTGTTTGTGTACCTGTATGCTTGTGTGAGAAGACAAATGACTGGCATTTTTAGGTCTCTTTTTCTTTTCCGTAACACAAGTTGCAATTCGGAATCTTCAGATGCGCATTGCTTCCTTCACTGTGAGACACAATCTTACAAAACGTTAACTATAGATCAAATAATTCCTCGAGACAAGATAATTGGCTTTAATTCAACACAGAATGCTGTAACAATAGAGATGCTGGCACCGCTCACAGGGGAATAAAAAGCCGAATTCCAAGTGTAGGTGTCGTCGAAACCTTCAGTTAGAGGAACGAAAAGAGGGCCGCGGGAAAGCCCAAGGCCTACTCTTATTAATATTATTTCCTACACCGATATGCCCTGGGGCGCGCCGGTCCTTCTACTGCTATTTACAAAGGAAACCGTACCGTATAGGCCGGATAAAAACCTCTGTCTACCACTTTGAGACAACAATCTATGAATCCGTCATACTGCAAAAGAAAGGAGGCCCTTTGCCGGCCTCCGGGCCCTCTAGCCCTTCCCATCCACTGTTTCTAGCTCCAGCCTTCTGGCCAGGCTATACTCCAGTAGCCGGCCAGAGTCCATCAGCCAGCCAAGGACCTTCCTAACAAATCTTCTGCCCCGGGCACCTACTCCCCGTAATACGGTTTGTAGGTCCCGATGTGACCGAATCTCTCTGCCGCCCCACGGCCTTTGTAACGGCGGGTCGGGGCACCAAACCACCAAGTGCTCCACCGTCTCCCTGCCTCTCCCGCACTCGCAATAGGGGGTGCGGACCTCCGGGACTTTCACCCTGAACAGGTAGTCCCGGAGGCCTATATCCCCGATACGGGCCTGGGAAAGGAGGGAGCTCTGCGCCTTTGTAAGACCTTCGTGTCTCATCAGAGCTTTGTCGGTAAACAAGAGGGCTGGGGGGTCTTCGTCGGCTATCCTCCTGTTTAATACCCTCTGTCGAGTAGTACTTTGTTGGCTAGCTCTCTGTTGTTCCCACCGGGCCTGCCAGGCCAGTTCGACCACCTCCTTGGTATTCGACCCCAAGGCCTACTTTTATTTCTTTTCCTTTTTCTTTTTACTCCTTCCCATTTCTTAATTTTCTTTACCTTTTTCCCTTTTCTCCCTCTGAGTTCCGCTTTCTTGGTCATAGGGGGCTGAGTGGGAGATGACTGGAGGGTTATCGACGAATGCCAAATGATATTGCGAAACGTTTGTCCTTTATTATCATACCTAAATAGAGTAGGACTTGAGGCCTGACTCATTTACGAAGCATGCCCAACAGTTGTTAAGAGTTAAAGGTGTAGAATCACCCCAAGAGCTGTGACATGACCAATAGTATGAAATGAACATTGTGATAGTTGGCATCAACGAGGGGACGAGAAGGCATGAGCATATGACCACGATGTAGTTCCGGTTCTGAATTTCCTCCAGTGCCCTTAATACCATGCTTCATACAGTAGGTCATCCAGACTCGGGCCGTCCTGCAGAGGTAGAGTGGCTAGACCGTTACCGGGAATCCAGACTGAGAATAGGTACGCAAACCCCTTACTCAGGCCTTACGGAACTCCAACACCCCAAAGCCATTAAACTTGTCCTCGAAGTCCGCATGCAGCCGCAAGCCCACAGAAGCCGCCAGCTCCGCATGCATCGCAGCACTGCGCCGCTTCCCCCAAACATCATCATAAACAGATCCTGCGCGGCCCCATACGCCGACGGCTTCCCGGCCTCAAGCAACTTCTCAATAATAAACATCCTCGTATCCGGCGCTACCGCATCCGCTACAGCCCTCCACGCACGCAGCACATCCACATCCGAAAAATCATTCAAAATTCTTCTAAACTGATACGCCAACGCCCCCCCGCACCGGCTCGTACACGCTCCCGGCCATGGAACAATTTGCAATAAGCCGCAAGCGATCACCGCCGTGAGCACTCGCTTGGCTGCGGTACTGGATCCGACCCTGAATCACTCCAAACAGCAACAACTCTAACAAACAGGAAGCAGACGCGCATCGGCCCAAAGCAAAAGCAAGGGAGTTTGACGAGCGAGACGGCGTCAGTCGCTCAGTAATGAATGAGCATCGCTGACGATACTTGCCGAGGCATTGACTATGGTGATCTTCTGCGGGCCAAGCTGAAGCCCAGCCCGAAGTGTCCAGACATGACGCTCAGCAGGCTTAATCGGAGGTCGTCCAGATCTGCAACGTGGCTAGCCCCCCGTGTATGCCATCTGGGTCTGGACCATATGTGCTTTCTAGGACACAGCTGAGGTTGAAGATAAACCTGGCGCTGGCGAATAAGGTTAATGTGGTTGAATTAGAAACAGGCATCACACCGCCTAAAACGATCGCTGGGGGCGGAAAATCTCTCACTTTAAGGTAACAGCAGGCCTTTCTACAACAAATCCTCTATGGTAAGCGGGATCTCCTGGCAAGGATAGCAGCTGAGAGGGCTGAACACCGGGGGATGGACTGGTTGTCGATCTCCAACGAAACGCGATATGGGCGGTTGTCACAAACCACCATGCTGAATTGTCACGGATATGCCGACGGGCGGAACCACAGGCCAGTAAACAAACCAATCAGGGAACCCACATGAGTGGCTCAGTGAGCTCAGTTGGAGGGTACAACTGAGCACACTGAGCACACAGGACTTAGATAGGTATATAGTCACCCGTTCTGGAGAGCTCTGGGAGTTCTCCAGTTAGCAATCACAACTACAGTTCGCTACAAGCTCGGAAGCCTACTGTTGAGACAAGCCTTTGTTGTGCACCTTTTGGCTGCACCGAACCTAAGCACCCTTGAGAGATTACCTTCAACCGAAGCTGAACCCTAACAGGACAGGGTCCTGAAGTAGGTTCGTCACAGCGGTTTCCCACCAAAATACTGAAAATACTGTCTCCATCGATAGACAAACTTTGGACCTCGGCCGCACTTTCTGTTGGACACACAAGGAAGAGCTTCGTTGTGACAGAGAAGGGTATTTCAAATGCACTGTATGCTTTCATTAGGGGTACCTTCAATAACGAGGTAACTAGGTCTCATCTCATCACAGGCGTAGCGGTGTCTCAACATTACTATTACCAACCCCCACATCCCACAGCCTCACTACCTAGTAAACACACTCCCAAGTGTCAGGGTCCTTCGGGCCCCCACTACCGGTATGCACATTCCTGAACGGGTACCTGCAGTGCCTCCTCTTGTAGTCGACGGTGGTGCCAATCGGGCCAACGGCAGGTTCTTTGCCAGGCACAAGGTTTCACATTGAAAATGAGCCGTTCTGTTAACGGGAACGCACTGGGTTTCTGTCGCGTGATCTGGTGCAATGCGGGAAGACGGGTGACTTGTTGCAGTCAGGGGCTGATCGTATCCGCGATACTGGTGGAGGTGGTGACTATGGTCTCCCCGAATAACAGGAGTTGAGCGAATTTGGTGGAAGTGTGAACCAAAGCTGCCTGCAGACTCGGGTATTGTTCGATAGTTGGAAGAAATTGAGAAACTGTACGAAGTAAATTAGGTAGTTATCTGGGTAATTACACGCTGAGTCCCAACAGGCGAACCACGCCTGCCTACCTATAGTATGATTCACGGCACCCGTGTCAGTTTTGCGAGTGTTAGCTTGTTAGAGAAGAAAACAAAGGGCCAGGGAACTGTGCAGATTGCAAGAAAAAAAAACGGTCTTTTAGCACCTAGGTACCTCGCTATCTCGTCTGTTGCACAGGAGTGAGGCCTCGAGTCTCGCACACAGCACGATCAATGTAGGTATGTACATAAGGTACATACGATGTTTAAAATGACTTTGAGTGGGTTAGGTACCTCTGATGCAAACTCTCTTTTGGTGTTTCAAGTCCGTTCCACGAGTCAATTCAGTGTCTTTGAATGTTCTTCGTTTTTCCGTTTTTCCGTCTCATTAGTGATCCTGCTTCCTCTTCTCCTTCGGCAATTGGTTCCCCTGCAACGAAATCTGCAGTGCTACCATGCGGATTTGAGTCAACCCGAATCCTTCCTTACCTGCCCGGGCAGCCGGGATTGGGAAAGGTGCCAATGCAGGAAGGAACAGCACCACACCCGAAAAGTCCGCAGGGTTTACAGTGCGGTTTGATGATGATAGGCTGGAATCAAGGAAGGATTGGGGGCCAGGGAAATACCCACTGTGTAAGCGTAGCTGTTGCCTTGGAAAGGTTCATTTGGCGATTCATAAAATACGACGCATTCAACGTTATAAGACCGTAATTCGCCAGTCTCTAAACCTCGGCTTCCGACTCAACCATATCATCTCTTTTTTAGCATTACCTACCCGACCTCTACCATCACATCCCGTTCAAACATGGCCGCGTCCCTGCGTGCGGCGTGTGTACCCGCGACGTTCAGCGACCTAGGCCTATTTGGCGCCGAAGTGCTCTCTATCAATACTGCACTCGTAACCAATTACACGGCTTCTTCGGCTGATCTTATAAGAGGCACCCAGCCTTCGACAGAAATTCACAATGCAACCTTCTGCAACGTCACCGTATCCTACACACACCCGGGACAAGAAGACAAACTATTTGTCGAAACCTGGTTACCCATTGAGAACCCAACGTGGAACGACCGTCTGCAGGCATCTGGGGGTGCGGGCTGGGCGGCCGGCCGCCAGGCTGTCACTTATGAGATGATGGTTGGGTCACTCGCCGATGGCTATGCGTCAACCACAACGGACGCCGGGCTCGGGAACAACCTGGATCCCGCGGTTTGGGCTGTGAAAAGCCCTGGAAACATCAACTGGTACAATGTCAACAACTTTGCCTCTGTGGCCCTCAATGATCAGGCCATCATTGGCAAAGACGTCGTTGAAAGCTTCTACGGCAGGCCCGCAGCCTATTCGTATTTCAACGGCTGTTCCCAGGGCGGCCGCCAGGGGATGATGCTGGCCCAACGGTACCCCACAGCATATGACGGTATCACGGCGGGCGCCCCCGCCATGTACTTGCCCCGGACGGCACCGGCGATGTATTGGCCGCAGGAAGTGATGAACATGTTGAACAACTACCCGTACGGGTGCGAGCTAGAGGCCATTACCGCTGCCGCCATTTCCGAGTGCGATGACCTCGACGGTGTAGTCGACGGCATCATCTCGGACATCGACGCCTGCCTCGCCGCTTTCAACCCCTCCAAACTCATCGGCACCCCGGTCCCTAACTGCCGCCAGGCGGGCAATGAGACGGTCAAGATCGGTACTGCCGCGACGGTGATCGCCAATGCCACTTGGCACGGCGTCATCACAGCTAACGGGGCCTGGACCTGGTATGGTCTAGGCCCGGGCACAGATATCAGCAACGAGGGTCTCACCGCACTTAGCATAGCAGGCACCGCGGCAACAAAGTGCGACTCTGGTGTTTGCGTTGGCCGGCCAAACCAATTGGCGGTTGACTGGCTGGAGGCATTCGTCGGAAAGGGAGACCCCAGCTTGGACATCTCGAAGTTAACATACAGCCAGTTTGATGACATGGTACATTCTGGCCGTCAGATTTACGGCTCTTTTGAGAGCGCTGACCCGGACCTTTCTCGCTTCCGCGATGCTGGTGGTAAGCTGTTAAGTTGGCACGGCCTGGTACGTTCTACCTTGCCCGCCGTCATTTCCCCGATTAGAAACGGCTAACCCTCATAGTGGGATCCTCTCGTCCCACCTGGGGCCACTAGACAATACCATGCCGAGGTAACTGCCCTGCAGAAAGACACTTCCGACTTCTACCGTCATTACGAGTTCCCCGGATTGGGACATTGCTTTGATCGCGCAAGCGGCCAGCCTACCAGCCTCTTTGATCAGCTCCGGACTTGGGTTGAGAACGGGACCGCGCCGGAACATACACCTGTTGATGTCAAGGTGCTTGACGGATCCATTCAGCATCGTATCGTTTGCCCGTACCCACAGGTCGCAAAGTTTCAGGAGAAGGGATGCGAGGACCCCGCCGAAGCGAGTTGTTGGTCCTGCGAAGCAGCGTAGGCGTTGTCGGTACAGGTCGGCAGCAAAGCGCGTTGGCCAAAGTTGAACCAAGGGGTTAGTGAGGCTTAATCTGGTCGGAAATAATATCTCGAATCGCCCGTAGGACCTAGTTTAAAGCTGGATCGAGAATACATGGTCCCTTCTAATTTCTCCTTGGACACAGCACCGTTTTCATGATACGAGTGGAGTTTGTCTATATATTCTTGATAAATATATAGATTACTACATATATACTCATATCTTTCGGTCAAATGCTGCGAATATCCCTGATGTTGATGAGCCACATGGAGAAAGAAGAAGGCAAAAGGCTCAAATTTTAGTCTGAGTTACGTCACCCTTCCATTCCGGCGGCGGCCCCACATCAACAAACGCCTCCGGTCCGGTGCCGAGCAACCGAAGCCGCGGTCAACATCATCTTCAACAACCTAACCACCGTTAACTCAATCGAATGTAAGCGAAACCTCCGCTTTAGTCAATCGCAACCACAGAACACATCGCCCCGTATAGAATGGCGCCTGGAACACCACCACCGAGCGTGCCGACGGTCGCCGAGACCATCAAGCATCCTGCTTTCCCAACAACACTCTGGGAGCTTGAGCCGGACCGCCAGGGCCTGGCGCCGGTTGCCCAGGGCCGTGGCGGACCATTCAACATCTCCTGGGAAATACATGGTGTCGGGCCGATCAGGCTCATTGTAAGTTACTGAGCTGGGTTTCGCCCTCAAATGACCCCCCCCCCCACCAACTCACTGCTTCACTCGCTCACCACTCCCAGTTCATCATGGGCCTGGGCGGTTTTAAATCTGCCTGGCAGCGTCAAACGCTGCACTTCGGCCACGAACGGCGCGACCAGTACTCGGTCATGCTGATTGACAACCGCGGGATGGGCGACAGCGACACGCCACTGATGCGGTACAGCACGAGCGAGATGGCACTGGACATTGCCGAAGGTGCTGGCCGACCCCTCCGTCGGCTGGCTGCCCTCCTACCCCCTACCCGCCTCCCCACCCCCCAAACGCACCATCAACGTCGTAAGCATCTCCCTCGGCGGGATGATCGCGCAAGAGATAGGACGTGATACTGCCCAAGTCCCTCGCCTCCCTCTCCCTGATCTGACCGAACGCCGCCATCAGAAAAACACACAACCTTCGGCGAAAAACATGGCCCAAAGAGGCATCTATTCTCCTTCCCAAATCCCTAGACCGCTCCGTAGACGAACGCCACCCGACGATCTATCACCACCGAATTGAGTCACCCCGACCCAAACAAACCAGAACACTCTCACTACCCGAGAAC